CCCTACACTTACTTTAGAAAAGCTTTTCCTTACTTGAATATATATATATATATATATATATACAAGTCGAACTAATTAACATTTCGTACTTACCCAGAGCGACAAGCACTACCACGTGATTGGTTATTCTTATTCAAACATAGATGAAAACGTAACTCCGAGATATCACTGATGTCGACATTCTTGCACAACGTGTAGTACTGCAGGAATAAGTCACAGACAGAACAGGTGTTATTTCGTACATTAATGTGCCACAAATACACAAGGTCGTGGAATAACTCTACAGTTATAATATAATTTTATAATATTTTTATTTATAAAATATATTAGTTACATGTATACGTTCAGTCATGAATTGATTATCCATCAAAATAGTAATAATATAGTTGTTTTGGAAGGAGTTGACAGGGAAATGAATGTGGTAGTTACACGTGCTCAGTCATGTACAAGTTATTTTGCCCGACATGACCATGTGATTAGGGCGCTCGGCTCGCAATCTGTGGGTCGCGGGTTCGAATCCCCGTCACATCAAACATACTCGTCCTTTCAGCCATGGGGGCATTTATTATGTGACGGTCAATCCCACTATTCGTTTGTAAAATAGTAGCCCAAGAGTTGGCGGTGGGTGGTGATGACTAGTTGCCTTCCCTCTAGTCTTACACTGCTAAATTAGGGACGGCTGGCGCAGAAAACAAACAAACAAACAAAAAACTAGTTATTTATACAGTTGTGTAACAAGGAATGAAATATTGGTTTTCTTTGTAGTTACAATGTTTAATAAGTTTATTTTTCTTGTTTATCACTCACTTCTGTGGAAGGAACTCGACCAGAATAAATCTTGTATGTGCCAGGTGATTTTCCACGAACAATCCCAGTATATGAAAGTACGTGCTACAGACTTGACTAGCAGCAGTGTTTATCACAAAGAAAGTTTATATGTGCGTTTTATATTCTGTATTTTACAAAGACTTAAGAATATTCATGGAGACGTCACAGTTCACCGTTGTTGTTGAAAACAACTTAGTTTACATTAGCTAAAAGTAGAACTGTAGTATCAATTACCATTATTTGTAGAATATTTCTTTCATTGGAGTTCTGATTACTGTCTCCATAAAAAAAAAAAAAAAAATTTTGTATGTCGTATGATTGAGATATCTACTGGACTCCCTCTGCCTCGTTTTGGTCTCTGTTCTAAGGTCTTCTTTAGAACCCGAAAACAAAAGTCTCAGCATAGATCAAAACATTGTCCTTCTTAAGAAACAAGGCAGGAACAGTTAATTAGAAATTCAAACCTTACAGTTTCTGGCTTCTAATACCAGTGAAATATGAGGTCTTTTGGGGGGACCTGGATAAGGCCTCAGCATAGAGACAGAAACGTTGTTCTCCTTAAGAAATAAGACAGGAACAGTTAATTAGAAATTCCAACTCCTCGACGTGCGCTCTTCTTAACTTACTGTGAAATAATATGGTGTATGTATTTGCACTTGAATGGTTTCATATACAGTATGGATGATTGAAAGAATAAAATGTACCCAAGTAATTGATCTTTAAGTTAAGCCTCAAAGGTTGTCCTGCATGTATGTAAAGCCTAATAAAATTGTCAACGGAGACAAATTTATTGAAGTAAGTAAACGTTTTACTTACATTAGAAAATATTATAGTACAAAGAATAATATCGAAGGTTTGTTAACCAAATGTCGTTAGTCAAAGAAATGTATGTAAGCCAAATAAAATTGTCAACGGAGATAAATTTATTGAAGTAAGTAAACGTTTTACTTACATTAGAAAATCTAGGTGGATAAGGCGCTCGACTCACAATCTGAGG